TTTTTTTTTATTTTTTGCATTTTCAATCTTCTCGTCATTGGGCAGCGCGTGCAGCAATAACAAGAAGTTAATCATGGTGAAAGAAAAAGCGTGAAATAAGAATTTGAGGGCTGGGTCAGAAGAGCGGTTACACGAAAGCGATTCATGTGAAATAATTGGCTCTGTGTGAAACGAAATTTGTCGGCCCGTAACTGTAGCTGCTAGACTAACGTGTATTTAGTGAGTCACCTTTCGAATTCGCTGCCTTGAGTGTGTATTTAGTGAACTAGCGCTGTAGATTTGCAGCCTTAAGTTTACTTGTATCGTCAATTACCCAGATCTTGCTGCCGTGAATATGGTAAAAAATGAAGCTAAGTGGAGTATGGGTACTATCCATTTCTATTCAAATTATTGCTTTTCCGTTCAATACTTGTTTCCTTGTAATTTCTTGCTAAAAGCGAATATTATTAGAGACGCAAATACAACGCCGTAATGCCCTGCTCTTTTTCTGTTGCTGAGTTGAAAAATGCCACAGATTACTATAGTAAATTACAGAACAAAAAAAGTAGCCTTCCTTCTAATATGCTTTGCACTGGCTGCCCTCAAATATGAATAGTTTCATCAATAATTCTGGTAGCATTGATTTACATCTAATTCATCTCTTCTTTTTTATACGCAACATCGAACTTCCAGAATGGCACTTCTAGCTTTCATTTTCAGGTCTTTTTATTTGACTTTGTTCTTCATCATATTATTCTTTTTGCATATAACAACGTAAATTTTAGGTGGCTTTCGTTTGAAAAACTCAGTGTTTTGTTTCCTCAATCTTTTGCAAACTTCTTCAGGTTGTCACAGAGGCCTCATATGTCAACGTGCCTGTTATCTCTTTCTGCAACACCGAGTCTCCACTCAAGCTTATCGATATCGCTATTCCTTGCAACAACAAGGTTCGTTTATCAAATCCTACGATTACAGCTTTGAATTGTTCGCTACTGTTTCCAGGGTGAACAGTCCATCGGACTTATGTGGTGGCTGTTGGCTCGTGAAATACTGATCCTTCGTGGAAAGATTTCTCGCCAGACCGGATTTGTTCTTGACGATAAGGAGATTATGCCTGACCTATACTTCTACCGTGATCCCCAAGAGTCTGAGAAACAGGAAGCTGCTGAGGTTATGCCTGAGATTAAG